CTGTTACTTGCATGCTGGGCTGGCCGCGCTTGCATGGTCTCGGAAACCCCCTTCTCCTGCTCCCTGCTCCCTCCTCCCCCCTCTGCTCCCCCAGCATCTCCCAGTCCCAGCTGACCTCTCAGGTGGGCGGACCTGGGCTGCCAGGTTGATTGGCTAACATCCAACCAGGTTCCTGGTCCAGAGTCTCAGGTGCTGGGAATCGGGGAGTGAGAGCCTTTGGCTTCTGCAAAGATGGCTGAGCTTCTGTTCTCCGGGCTGGGTCTCTGGCTGGGTCCCTGGCTGGGGCGGCAGGAAAATGCTCCCACGGGCCCCTGAAGCCGGAACAATGGGTACCAACCAGCACCAGCTCTCTGTGGGGCAGTAGCTTTGCAGTGAGAACAGATCCAGAATCTGAGAAAACCTGAGCGGGGAAGCTTCCTCCTACACACGGGGAAACTGAGGCCGGAGAAGAAAGTGACTCTCCTGAGGAGGCACAGGGCACCCTGTCGGAGTGTGAGGGGTGTTGGCTCGTGGTCCTGAGCTTGGGCCTTGGGGCAGAGCCAGGGGCCCCCTCTCCTTCCCTGAGGCTGACGGGTGGAGAAGGCCCAGTTCTCACTGTGAGTACCTGCTTTCCAGGTGGGCTCGGGCACAGGTAGGAGGCGGCAGGGGGTTGGAGGGCTCTAGGCGTCGAATGGAGAGTCAGGGAGACATCAGAGAAGGCCTGACGGAGAGATGGAAAGAAGACACACCAGGGCTAAGGGGCGATGGGCTGGGGACTGGGAAACCTGAAGGCTTGAGACCAGAGGAGGGTTTGGAGGCAAATGGGGCCTGGGGAGGGGGGTGGAGAGGTGAGGAGCAGGGAGGGGAGGGCCTGGAGGCCCACATGTGTCCTTTTCCTCCGAGGACAAGCATCAGATAACCCCGGGAAGTCCCTCCCGCTGGGGTCGGCTCAGCGCCAGGTCACTCGCCAAGAATCTCTGGCCTCTCCTGGGCGGGCGAAGGTGAGGCCTGGAGTGGACAGGAGGGTCCAGGGGACGGGTCTGAGGAGGCGCTTGGTGGTCACAAAGCACCGAACGAGGTTTACAGAGCCCGGCGGGCCCTCAGGGTGTGGGCAGTGTGCACCTGGGCCGTGGAGGTGGGCGTGCGAGCGCCCGAGTGGTTCCTGAGCTGGGCCCTCAGCTCCCGGGACGACCTGTCGGAAGGGAAGGCCGTGGAGGAGGGAGCCCTGGATCGGAAGTCAGGGCCTTGCTGCCCTGTCTCCTCCCTGGTCTCCCGTGTGTCAATCAGGTGCTGGACTGAGTGACCCCAGTGGCCCCTTGAAAGGTGGCGCCCTGGTTCCGACTCAGCCTGTGGCCTGCGGGGCTCAGGGCTCGGCCAGGAGGACTGCTGAGAGGGGGAGAGCCAGGCCTCACCCCGAGGAGTGGATGCGGGTCAGTGGGGACCATGTGCGTGGGCGGCTCTTCCTTTCCTGCTGCCCCACCCCAAGCTCAGTCTCCCCGAGGCCCCTGGACGGCTCCCTGGACCCCTTCCAGCCCCCCTAGGCCTGGCACCACTGTCCCCCTTAC